TATATATATATAATAATAATAAATAATGAAATGAAATATGAAAAAAAAATTACTAAACCTTTCAAATTAAAATTAAAACAGAATGATGCGTAAACATACTGTACGATGATAAACACATGTGTTTAGCTACATTCCAGCAGCACTGTGTGCTTTCCTGTTTCAACGGGTTATTATTGACTAACCAGCCCTCAAATACAATTTAGTGACGCATACTGTAGTACTAGAGAAGATCAAGTCAGATTTAGAAAAGAGAAATCACAATTCACTGGTGAAAAATAGATTCAATTCATATGGATATATAGGAAATACTTTGTTTAGATACGATAAAGATGTGTGTTAGCACAAAAAAAAATCAATACTTTGATTCAGTAAGGATGCATTAAAATGGTCAAAAGTGACAGTAAAGACATTTGTAATGCTACAAAAGTTTCTATTTCAAATTCTTTTGAACTTTCTGTTCATCAAAGAACCCTGAAAAATAAAATGCATCACTGTTTCCACAAAAACATGAAGCCGCACAACTGATTTCAACATCGATAATAATCAAAAAAAAATTCTTGATCAGCAAATCAGCATATTTAGAATGATTTCTGAAGGAAGACTGGAGTAATGATGCTGAAAATTCAGCTTTACATCACAGGAATAAATTACATTTTAAAATATATTCACACAGAAAACACTTATTTGAAATTGAAATAATATTTCGGAATATTTCCGTGAGTTTTTAATGTGTTCAAACCTGCAGTGTGTGTCTGTCCTGTGGATGACGCTGTGAACGGCCGTCCTGAGACGCTCCAGAAATCCAGTGAGCTCCGGATGTCTGGACGGCAAACCAGGCTTGAGCGTCGCTCGCTCTCTCCTCAGTTCCTCTAGTTTCTTACCAAAACGCTCAGCTAAACAAACACAATTTAGACTTCAACTTTCAGCAGCCTTTCTTTAATGGCCTAAACCACAAGCCAAAGACAAATATACACTTGTTTAAGTTCAATTTAGGTCAGAGACAATCCAAAAACATGACAAAAATACTAAATGTTAAACAAGTTATTCATGAGGTGCCTTGGTGTTAATACAGTTAACATGTTGAAAGTTCATATTCTCTTATTTAATCTCGAAAACAGACATTTAAATCTAAGATATATTGATCTATCATTATTTAAAACCCATTCTGAAACGTCTGAGTGTGTGTTGGTGAGTGTAAGACAGACAAAATAAAACAAAACACACACACACACACACACACACACACACGGATCAGGGTCTGGGGAAAGTCCAGTTGTAAGTCACAAGGTTCGTCACGCTCAAAAGGGTGAAAAAAGACTTCCAGCTGACAAATGTAAGTCAATCATCTGATCTGATAGAGAAGTTTGAGGCGTTTCTCCAGACACACACTGAAGATACAGAGGGAAGCTTTTGAGTACAGCAGCTCAGTGCGAGTAATGAAGCAAAGGATGAAGGAATTACACAGTCAAATAAATCCACCACACACAGCACACTGGTCCTGTATGATAACTGTGCTCATGGCCAGCAGATGGCGCTGTTCAACACTGAATCTCAGATCCATCTCAAACACAGGCAAAGTAATTTAAATATATACTACAAAAGTCTTTGTTAATATTTTCTGTCTTATTTATCAATAAAATCATATTTGCTAATATTTTGATATTTTCAGTTTTATTATTTTGATATTTTCTGTTTTATTATTTTGATATTTTCTGTTTTCACTTTCAAGTTTTAAAGTTTTTAGTAATTTTGTTGTTTTTTTGTCATTTGTATTTTTTTTGTTTTAAAATAGTCTAAATAATGTTTATACATTTTTATTTATTCAAGTTTATTCATTTATTATTTATTTAGTTAGTTAGTTAGTTAAGTATTTTGAGAAATGGGAAATATTGCCTTAGGAACTGAAAATAATAAATAATAATACATTTCCATTTTTATATATTATATTATTTCAGATGTTTATTTTATTTCAAGGAACACGTTTTTTATTCATGTTTTTAGTTTTAGATAACAAAAAATAATCCTGATGCAAAAGATATACATTTCAAATGGGAGCTCAGTCAGAAAAAACATCAGTAAGCATACTATTAACACACATGCAATGTTATTTTATTATATAATACAAACGTTTTTATATTTTTGACATTTTGTGTTTTATACAGAACATTTGGATATATTTTGGGTTTTATTATTTTTATATTTTCTGTTTTCTCTTTAATTTTAGTTACATTTTTTAGTAATTTTGTTGTGCGTTTTTATAATTTGTATTAGATTTCTTTGTTTATATGTCTATATACTATTTATTAGTTTTATTTAAAGTTATTTTAGTATTTTGAGAAATGTGAAGTAGTTTAATTTTTTACATTTTATTTTCTTTCAGCTAATGTTTTTTCTATTTCAAGTAACACATTTTTTTTATGGTTTTGGTTTTAGATAACTATAATAATCCTAATGCAACGATACACATTTCAAATGGGGTCCCACTCAGAATAAATTCAGTGCACAGTATGCATACAATAAACCACTGTAATAAGATAATTAGACTGATAACCTTTCCAGATTTAATAGCTGAAAACATGCAGGAACTGTATGAACAGACATGTTCAACATCACTGAGTCAAACGAGGTGGATTGAGTGTTACTGCCAAACAAACACGTGGGATGTAGAAAGGGAATATTGATGCTATGAAGTCAGCAATCACAAGTTCATGTTTTTGGCTGGGTTTAAGGTCACTATCGCTGAGTACAGACAATCAGCTGGGAGTGTTTGGGTGTGTTTGCACCACATGAATGTGTTCTGTCATCAGTCTGTGGACATATTTGGACATAAAACCGGGCTGCAATTCACAGATACGATATAGTATGATCTGTTGACAATATAGTATTTTTTAGAGCGTTAATTATATTTTAGAATAAGAAATCAATTCTGTTTTAGTATTTGCACTTAATATGCACATCCTATTAGCTAGAGAAACCATCATGCTTCATCAAATAATGATCAAAACAACACTGAGCATGCAAAATGACTGACCTGTGTCATAGTCGTCATCCAGAACCGCTTTGTGCTGTAATCTCTGAAGCTTCATCACTATGGACTTGATCTAAAGAGGGTAAAACATTGTGAAACATTAGAAAAATGTCAAAGATTGTGAGTGAAAAACATCACTTCAAGTGAAAATCGACGTTATAAAGCCTACTGTATCACATTTGTTATGCAGATTTCTAAGGTCTCAATGATCAACATGATCAAAACCTTGCAGAAAAATCAGCTAGTCTCAAATCTGATCATCAGGATCTTTTGAGGAGCGTTTATTTGTTCATCTCTCAATCATCATTGGATTGCATTATATGTTTTGATCACTTAAATATCATCTTACTAAGACATATTATTGGAGCTATAGAGTGACGACTGATATTTATATCATTTTATGTCAGTATCTGCTGTACTGTTATAAAGATCTCATTAATTTACATTACAAGCTATCAGAATTTCATCATATAAATATCAGCATCTGCACCAAATTTCATATTTTTACTCAGTTTGGACCTTCCTTCATATTCTCACTATATCAGACTATATGAGCCATTAAAGCCTGATGTGATGTAATATGATACTAAACAAAAACACGCGCACATTGTTTTTTGATTTTGGTTTGATAAAATCTTCCCATTTAAAAAAAATAGATTTTTTTGACTATGTTGACTATGTTTCATATGTTAGTTACTTAAACAGGGTTTAAGTAAAAGCACACCTTTAGGCATCAAGTCGTTAAGAATAAATTAAAATAAATTATATTTAAATTAAGTTTATTTTTCTTACCCCAGTGGCAGATCAGACTTAATTTAATTAACTTAATTTAGTTTTGTTTAGAAGTCTTTTTACTTCACAAGTAAATTTCTCTTGATTTAAGAATGTTTAGATATTTGTAATGGGAAAAAAACGTAATAAACAAGTATGAAAGTATTAAACATTGTTGTGTCGTACTGACCTTGGTGTTTGTGCGATTGCTCTGCAGACAGTCTTGCAGAACATCCTCGTACTTCTTTATCAGACCGTCCCGACTCTGATCTGAGGACGGGGTTGCACTGTCGTAGCCAGACGTGACCGAGGAGGCCGAGGTCGAGTCTGACGAGTCAATCGAGAGCGAGGACGTGACTTCAGTGTCCAGAGAGCCAGAGTCTGAATCCTGGACGCTTTCTTTCGCATAAGACGCCATGGAGGACGAAATCTGTCTGTCCCGTTGCCAGGGTACGTCTAGATCCACTAGCCACAGCTCTCGGTCCAAAAACAGTCCTTTCTGTTGCACCGACTGACCAATCGAGCAAGGCGAATTGCTTAATGAGAAAACCTCATGTTCTGATTGGCTAGTTGGAACAGTGCTGATCTCTGATTGGCTCAAGTGATTTACTAAAGCAGTGTGAGGTTTTAAAGCACCCGAATTTGACGTTTCAGACGTTTCACACTTCAGTCGGTCCCATTCAGACTGTTTACACACAGATTTGTTTGTGCTCGCATCTAATAGATCGCTAGTTTCTAGCGACTGCTGAATGAAACTGAAGCTCGAATTAAAAACGTTGCGCGATGGCATTGAGGAATTTTCCTCTGCAGCACGGTCACGCAAACAGTGCGTTTTGGAAGAATCCTGGCTGTCGTCTCTCTCGAAAGCATCCTTAAGCCATTGCTCACTGGGGCTGCTGAGTAATTCCGAAGCTCTCTTTCGAGTGTTCTCATTAGTAGGCGACCCAGAAACGGGCGTTTTGGAACGTTCTCGTTCAGAGTCACATGACTGGTTAAGCGGCTCTGAGTGCATGTATCTCGGCCGTCTGCGATGGCTTCCCGCTGCAGCGGTCGGACTCGCACCACCTGTTGAGAACAGATTACTGATTAAACGTCTTAGTCTTGATGATGAACCGTGAAAAGGTGCTTTATAACTGGACATGCAAACTCTCACAATGGCAGTTTTGTAAACAAATAATGAGCCATGACAGCTGCCGTCATGCGTTTCAGCAATGAAATCTCCCTGTGATCGGTGTGTCAAATGAAATACAGCTGTCGAGAAATGAAAACTGATGGGCACTTTGGGAAATGCACAGTAAAAACAAATGTAAGAGTTTAATAACAGTGTAAAGATACAATTTAAATATGAAAAAATATTTAAAAAATAACACGGTCATTATTAAATATTGCATATTTTCTGTACATTTTGCACTTAAAACTATTTTTACAAATTAAAAATGCAGCTTTTGTACATTTTACACTTCTTTTTTTTTTACATTTTTCAATGTTTTAATATTTGAAATGGATTGTTTAATTTGACAAAAGAACTCTTTAGGGTTTCTTAAAATAACATTTAATTCTTAATATTTAGTAATACTGTATTTATAATACATTTACTACTTGCAGATATAATACTTGCATTATAATACATTAAAAAAATAACACGGTCATTATTAAATATTGCATATTTTCTGTACATTTTACACTTAAAACATTTTTTACATTTAAAAATGTAAAAATGTTTGTACATTTTGCACTTAAAACTATTTTTACAAATTAAAAATGCAGCTTTTGTACATTTTACACTTCTTTTTTTTTTACATTTTTCAATGTTTTAATATTTGAAATGGATTGTTTAATTTGACAAAAGAACTCTTTAGGGTTTCTTAAAATAACATTTAATTCTTAATATTTAGTAATACTGTATTTATAATACATTTACTACTTGCAGATATAATACTTGCATTATAATACATTTAATGCATTTTTATGAGCTAACCGAGATATTTTGCTAATAACGCCTGCTTCTCAGATGTTTCTCATGAGAAAAGATCAGAGTAATCTCAGGTGTGTCTCCTCTAGAGAGTTTCACAAGAGATATCGACGTCTCGAACAATTCTTTAGAATTATTTATAGTCAAAAATCTATATATATGGTCATATATATCTATATATAATCAATATGAACCAGTATCATTTTAGTGTAATTGAGATACTACTATAGTTTTTATTCATAGTTTTAATTCTTTTTTTTTTTCATTTATATTTTTTGATATTCCATTTTCATTTTAGTTAAAGGTAATTTTGTAGTTTTTGTCATTTGTATTAGTTTTTGTTTTTTTATATGCCTATACAGCTTTTACACATTTTTATTTCAGTATTAGTTTGCTATTTTAGTACGTCGAGTTAAATTAAATGAAAATGACAAATGCTTCACTTTAGAAATTCATATTAGATATAAATATTAAATTAATTAAAATTAAATAAACACATACATTAAATAGATTGAAATAAATATTGTTTGCAGGAACCATAAAGAGTTGTTTTATAGTAAATGAAACACATTTAACTAATTTGATACTTTATGAGATGAGATCCATCATCCCTCTAAACTATGAAAGCAACATCTGAGCAATAAAACGTTTCCTCTGCGCAAGTAAAACTGACTGTAAGATGAGCTGAAATGAATGCATAAACGACAAGCCATCATACAATTATGAACTCAAAACGCCAGAGACAAAACAAGTCTGAAACCAAAACCTCGACATATACTCAACAAAACACATCGGTCTGTTGTTCTGAGGGTGAAGGGAGGGATCAGTGGAAAAACTCTCGAATGGATTCTTTGTCTGCAGCTGTGATTGGCTCTTTAAAGACTTTTCCCACAATCCCTCACTGCAGCGAATGCAGAGCGAGAACAGCTGCAGTTCAATGTCTCTCTCGCAGATCTTTCGAACATAAACACACAAACTAACTCACATGAGAAATAACAGAGAGTCCATTCACCCGCCAGTGAGTCCCGACTACCAGACCATCACTGAGCCAAAACCTGCCCTCCAAAAAATAGAAGTTTATATCACTGACTTCTATAGTCTGAAATGGTGTGCATATACTTTTCTTTCAAAGAAAGAAAAATGATGCCAACGAATCTCTTTGTATCTTCTGGCATTGCGATCTTTCACCATAATTCACACGGAGCTAATGAAGAGCAGATGAAGTCACTGCTGAAGAATGTTTTCTAGAGAGAGGAAGAGCTGCTTGAGCGAGAGACACATCCTCTGGAAGACTTGAACAAAAGGACGTTATTGAACAGTCGAGTAGAGCAGGGATTCACAAACCTTTGCTACCAGACCCTTTTCACATCAAATATTTGGTAACACTATAGATTAGGCAACACATATTCACTTTTAACTAAGAGTTTCCCTTCAATAAACTCCTAGTTTGCTGCTTATTAATAGTTAGTAAGGTAGTTGTTAAGTTTAGGTATTGGGTCGGGTTAAGGGGTCTAGAATATGGCCATGCAGAATAATCATTACCGTATTGGCCCGAATATAAGACGACCCCCCTTTGTAGCCCATCTGAAAAAAACAGGTAGCCCATCTGAATTAGGACATTTAGGCTATCCATCCAATAGTAGCCTACCAAACTCTTATTAACAGTAGAAGTTAAATCTTACTGTAGTCTTCAAATCTGGGTACTGTCTTACGTTTTAAAATCACAAAAAGAGTTTGGTCCCATCAGGCTAACGTGACAGTCACGACTCATGCAGCTGTAAGCTTTTCTTTTGTTTTTACTCGCGATCTTTACAACACGCATCACATTACGTATTTCATGGCACACTCGTTTTATGCATATTTGGCGCCACCTATTGTTGTGGGTGTATTATTGACACGTCAAAGTCTAGACCCTGAATATAAGACGACCGCGTTTTTTCAGATGTGTTTCCATAAAAAAAACATCGTCTTATATTCGGGTCAATACGGTAATATGTGCTAGGCATTTTTTAGACGGACAAATATGACTGCTGCACTCGCGTCTCACACAAGAGATGTATAGAAAGCCATGCAATGTTAAAACGGTTTAAACATTTAGAAAATGCGTCACGAATTTGTGGAGGTTTATTCCTTTTCACTGCGTCTCATATGTTTTTAAATGCAGTCTGTGTGATCGGCGCTTCGGCTCTTTGTATTAAGCAATGCATAAATACATGTTCATAATTGTTTATGCAAATTACGAAATTGTATTAGATTTTTTTATGAGTTAATTTAGACGTAATGCACGTTTTTTATAGAGTTACTTCCTTGCGTTGACAATTTACATGTGCTGCATTATTTTGCTCATTGCGCCCTCCTGTGGCCTCGGGAGACAAGACAAAAGTTTCCTTAAGACCTATTTAATCTGCATATAAAACATTAGAAATGAGATATTTAATTTTTATTTTGTGTTTGACTTAAAACAAAAAATATTTGTTGTTTGTCTCAATAAATTGGGTTAATTTAAAAATACAGTGGTTAAATTAAAAAAAAAAATTCTATTGCTCTTTGTTTTAAAATGTTATTAAAAATGTCAATAATTATCGATACGAACGATATGAAACATTACATCATTGATACATTTTTTAGCTATATCGCCCAGCCCTAATATGTGCCTAATAAGTACTAATAAACAGCCAATATGCTAATATGCATGCTAATAGTAAATAGTAAGAAATGGACCTTAAAATAAAGTGTTACCAAATATTTACTTTAAGTCCCACCTGAGATTTGATGTTAATATTTCAATAATTTAATTTAACAACACATTTGCATGCTCATAGTTCTCTGATGTTGACTTTTTAATATTTAAAGTCACTTGTATTTATACAGCACAATACGGATTGTTTCAGATAGTTGTTTCAATTCAGTTCAGTTCAATTTTGATTGAATTCAGTTCAGTAACAGTGTAGATGTTGCAAAGCTAGTGACATTATTCAGCTCAGTTCAGTTTAAATTTTGTTCTCATCCGATCATGTCAGTGCAGTTAAATAGATACTACTAAATATGAATAGTCTTTTAACCCCTATTAAGTGTGTATGGTTTTAGTAAGTGTTTTATTTTGTCACATTTTATATTTAAGTCACATTTCAAGTCAAGTTATTTATACAGTACAATACAGATTGTTTCAAAGCAGCTTCACATTACTGAA